AGTGTATCTCTACAGGTTGTATGTATCAGTTGCAAGTCTGTGTATCACTCTGAGGACATCAATATTTAGGGGTATCAGATTTGAGGCAGCGATTTGGGAACAGAGATCAGTCTTTGAGAACAGTTTGTTCAGCTTGTGATTGTTAACTGCGTGTTGTCTTTATTTAAGCTGAAATGCTGTCCATTTTTCTGGCTATTGTTTCCTTATTTTTGCTTTATTTATCTTTTTCAAGGTAGTATAGCGTCATTGCTTTCGACCAGGCAGATATCCCCCAAGCACTCTGGACCAGAGGTCGAAGACTTCATCGATCTGAGGATCTGGTTGACGGACAACCAGTATTTGTTTCATTGCCACCGGTTACAAGATGGAGGGCAGTTAGGCAGAGAACATCAGTACAGCAGTCAGTTCAAAGGTCTTTTTCTACCCCACCTGTGCGCAGTTGGGATCCGTTTATTATTTCTACCTCAGAGAGGCAAGATACATTTGTTCAAACAGATTAGCAGTTTACTGCCAATTTAGAGGAAATGATGCATCAGCTCCAAGAGACCATGGAGGCCATGCAGCATGATGCAGGTCACCAAGCAGATGCCGCTGCTCGCCAAGCAGAAGTTGTGGCTCAACAGGCAGAATTAATTGCCAAGCTTCAACACCAGCAGCAACAACAACAAGCCCGAGCATCTGCTTCACACCCACCCCCACCTCTACCTAGAGTTCCAACACTTGGAGAAACAAAAAATGTCTAGGAAAATACGGACGTTCCAATAGGGCCAGTCCCTTAGCCAATCCTACCCCAAACATCAAAGGCACCAGCCAATCTGATGGACACACCGTTTGAATTTGAGGTGGATCCAACTACGCTGAAAATGAGTAAGCTTGAAAAGCTGTTCAAGCGAGCCCCGAGAGTTAACTTAATCCCCAATATAGAAGATGGGTACACTGATTCGGCGGTGACTTTGTTGGACAGGTTCAAGATGTCACACATTGACCATTTTGACGATTCTGGCGATCCTATGGTTCATCTGAGGCTATTCTCGGATATTTTACGCCCGATGGGCTTGACGAGACTCCAGAAACTCTCTCTCTTCAGCCGAACCCTATCGGGTATTGTGGCTATCTGGTATGCCAAGCTGGAGGACTCAGTGAAGAGAAGTTGAGAGGAGATGGCCGAGGCCTTTGTCGCACAATATTCATATAATACCCAAATCGAGGTCATGGCCCGTGATCTCGAGGTGACCAGGAAAGAGCCGAAGGAAGGGTTTTCTGACTCTGTCACTCGATGGAGGGCCAAGGCCTCCATGATGACAACTCAGCCGCTTGAGAAATATCAGATAAGAATGGTTGTGTGCAACCTTCAACCCAAGCTGATGCAAAAAATGATCGTCTTACCCCTCCCCACCTTTGCGGACTTACACGAGATTGTGGTATAGATTGAAGACGCAAATAAGCAACGTCTGATCGACCAAGAGAAAGAACAGCCCAAGAGGGCATTTACCCGCAGTTCGAATGCAGGCACAAGTAGTGTTGCAGCTGCTAGAAATTCCGACGTGGACATGGTCACCACCACTACTCCAAAAATAGCCAATCCCTTTGTTGGTACGTCCACTTCAAACCCCCAAACTCCGAACCATCCACCACGAGGCAAGAGGGTTTTCACCCCGCTTTATATGCCTTCGTCCAAAGCTCTGGGAGTCCTACTCAGGAAAGAACATCTGAAACCCTTAGAACAATGGCCTCTATCCGATCCTCTCCCTCCAAAGCATGACTTGACTAAATGATGTGCCTTCCATCAACAGCACGACCACGACACCGACCAGTGCTTCAGGCTGCGTCATGAGATCCAGGATCTCATTGACAACAAGGTAATTGCGCCACCACAAAATCCAAATGTCACCGCCAACCTTCTCCCCCCACATAATCAAAACCCTCCACCTAGGCAGGTAAACTTCATCCAAACAATGGCCATCCCGTATGATCCTAGTATATACATTACTCCATCCCACCTACCCAAGCCTGAGGTGTTCATCCCGAAAAGCACAGACCTGTGCGTGATAACCCAGCCCAAGCCAGTGGTGGTGACTATTGAAGACAGAGCTGGAGTGACCTTGGAGAAGCATGGGAAGGATGGTTCTGAACCTGAGGAATCTGGGAGCTCGGTTGAGGAAACATACAACCTAGGTGGTTATATTGTGTCGACGAGCCAGGCTAGGCTGAGGGTAGAGTTGTTGACTGGGGCAGAGGTTGATGTCGTCCGAGAAGATGGACCGAGCCAGGGGTTAGATGACCTAGCAGAGTTAGAGGAGGACATTGCAAACCTGCAGTTCTTTAATGAACAGGATCCAGGGAACGTGAGTGTCAACTGGTTTGATTTGAATGGGTCGACAGACAATTCGGGATGGCTCAGCGACGAGCCGGATGTTGTTGAGCTACCTTGACCAGAACAGAATCAGTCAGAGACTGGAATGTCTACAGTGGCCGGAATGGCCGAGAATTAGGAGGAATCGCCGGAGAGCACCGATGCAAAGAATTTTGCTCAAGATTTGAGCAGTGTGTGTACAGCAGACACTGAACATGAGGCTACATTAAAGAGGATTGAGCAAGAGAGGGTCGATAATGATGAAAGGGCTAGAAAAGCCAAGGCACCTAAGGGAGCAGAACGTGTCAAGAACACGGGAACGGCTGTAGCAGAATCGGACAGCTATCTGTCAGTTGCCGAGGGCATGTAGTGAGAAGACGACGACTGACGTCTTGCCCACACCGATGAGGACTGGGGGCAGAATCAGCCCGATGACACCTGGTACACCGAAGAAGTGGACCATATGACAAGAAGTGGATGATATTTCAAGCCCCCGCACCTAGACCATCCGGAGACATCTGGGAAGGACAAAGTGGCAGAGAGGCAAAAAGAAAAACTACTGGAGGAGGAAGCTGTATTGAAACAGCTAAAGAAAATCCAAGCAGACATCTCCATCTGGAGACTGCTTATGGCCTCCAGGGTTTATAGACAAGCAGTCCATTTAGCTATGGACAAGGCCAAGCTATCGATTGATACAATGCCTGAACAGATGGTGGGATTGGTGTTCCCGTGGGAAGCCTCCCCGACCTTGACTTTCACCAACAAAGAGCTACCGCCTGAGGGCTCTGATCATAACAAGCCGCTCTATATCTCTGTGGAGTGTAGGAAGAAATGGATACCGGTGGTCCTGGCCGATACTGGATCCGCAATCAATGTATGTTCGTTGAGAAAGACGTATGCTATCGGGTTGAAGCCCGCGGATTTTGTGCCTACAGCCCAGGTGATATGGGCCTTTGATAACACTAGCGAGGAGGTGACGGGGATGGTACGGATCAAAACTCAGGTTGGCCCAGGAAAACATGACATCGAGTTCCATGTCTTGGATGTCCCAGCCACCTTCAATCTACTCCTTGGGCGGCAGTGGCTGCACTAGGTGATGGCCGTCTCTTCCACATTACACCAGATGTTGAAGCACCCCCACGGGAAGGAGGTGCCAATAGTTTTTAGGAATTCTTTGATACATCCGTCGCCAGAGGTTGCTACACTAGTTCTGGAGATCGAACACGGCATGGAGGATGTCTTTCTGTCGGGATTTACCTTGATTGAGGCTCGGGTAGTACAGGATCTACTGGCTATTGATGAGGGGCTATACGTAGTGCACAATTTGTCTACCACATGAACAAGCTTCAACACATGCCTGGGATGGGATTGGGGCGAAGTGGCCGGAAGGGCGTCGCAGCATTGGCCGAAGTGCCACATAACCCATATACCTTTGGTTTAGGTTATCTGCCTACCGAAGAGGACTGGGTGAGAAAAGGGAAAGAAATGGCCGGAAGAGCCAGAGCCAAGCAGGCGGGGAAGCATTTTGAGCTGATGCATCAGCCTATCTAGGGCACCCTGAACGGACATTTCGTCCGGGAGGGGGAAGACTTTCCATTCTGCGGCTTCCCAGAGCCAAGGCTAAACGTAGAGAAGAGGCGCCTGCCAGGATTCGAAATATTCTTTGACTTGCAATTGTCCAATTGTCCGGGGATGATGTTGCCGAAAAGCAGACAGACCCATCAGCTAAGGCTGAGCAGTGTAAAGAAAAGGATTCCGAGAGCACCGAGATTGAAATGGGGGTAGGGCTGGCTTGTCTACTCTCAGATCCTCCGATCATACAAGAGCTCTTGGGGGATAACTCAGTGTCCATGATCGGGAATGAAACGACTGCAGGCCTACCAGCAAACATTTTGGATGCATCTATTGCACCCTCTCTCATTTGGCAGTATGAAGAGAGATTTTTGTCAAGCAGAGATCGGTCAGGTAGTGAGCCGGAATCTGATTCCACTGAATCTGTTGAGTCGGAATCAGGTTCCAGCTCAACTGAGTCTGAGTCCGATATTCCAGGGGGTGATAACCTGGATACCACAGTCCTGTCCAGGTCGTCTTTTTCTTTCTCTTTTGAGTCTGTTGTAACCGAAGAATCGGACGATTTGGATGTGCTTAATGAGAATCAAGTAACTGTGGTTTCTGAA